TCAACACAGCCAAGATGGAAGCTTTGTTTGTTTTACAAGAGCATTAGTTTAGGAGATCTTTTTTATATATGCTTCGATTGATCTATGGCTCTGAGCAGAATCTTCTTACGTACAAAGAACCAGAATAAAAAAATATTTATTTTCAGACCCCCAACAGGTATTGGTTTATTTCTCTTTACCTCACTCTCAAGGGTCCTGAATCAACACAGCCAAGATGGAAGCTTTGTTTGTTTTACAAGAGCATTAGTTTAGGAGATCTTTTTTATATATGCTTCGATTGATCTATGGCTCTGAGCAGAATCTTCTTACGTACAAAGAACCAGAATAAAAAAATATTTATTTTCAGACCCCCAACAGGTATTGGTTTATTTCTCTTTACCTCACTCTCAAGGGTCCTGAAGTTTCACCTACTTTCCCCAAGGCTGGTGAAAGGAAAGGCTGCTTTCCTTCCAGCCAAAAGTAAACACATCTCTATTGAATCAGCCAGATGTGTTTCTCTTTTAAATCATCCCCAGAAAAGTCTGAGGGGATGCTACCGTCCCAGTCCACCCATACAATAAAGAGAGATGCAGTAGCACGGTTCACAGAATCCTCTTTCTTTACCCACCTATGTCATAGGCGACTGTCAGGAAGTCTATCATGAGAGTAGGTTCATTCAAGTGAGGCAGGATAGAATCATGCAAAATTACAAGAACCTTTTTGTAAAGGCTGGTAGGTAGCTGTGAAGGAGAAAACATCATATTAAACCACGAGAAAAGTCATGAGGTTATTACATGGAGGGTGTGAGCTGTCAGCTAGGGATGTAAAATTTCTGTAATTGGTTAACCACTTAAACATATAGAGGGGGAGCTTTGCTGGTCCTGTACAGCTGTTCCCAAATACCAGTTAAAAGGTGATGCTTACTGGGCAACAGTTAAGGGGTATGCTTACCTGTTCACATCCCTAATGTCAGCCTCTACCCCCAAACTCTGATTCACCTCCAGCATTTATAAGTGTTATTAATGTATAAAGGGTTGTGTTCAGAGGCTTGCTGTGTGAAAAGGGTCACCAATATAAAAGTTTGAGAACTGCATTAAACAACTGTTCCAGAGAACAATTCAGAGAGAAGAAACAATTTAATTAACGAATAGAAGGTTTGACAAGGGAGAAAATTGTAATGTTCTGGACAGATTTAGCATAGTTTAGAGACAAAGGTCCCGATCCTGTGCCTATAGAGGCCCCTGTGAAATCAATGATATTCTGTGCACAGTTCTGCTCCCATGAAGTTACTTGCCAGGACAAGGTCCATAGGGAGAGCTGATTTTCATTCTTTTAAGGGTATAGGTATCAAATAGCAAGGCTAACTCTTTAGCGTGACATGAGGCTGATATTAAAGAAATGAAAAATATCAAGAGGGGTTTATAAGTAGGTGGTTGGTGCAATGCAACATTAACTCAGCATCTGAACCCAAATCACAAGCAGAAGTGAATGCAGCTGCTCTTATCCAGTCCTAGAGGACATCTGTTCATACTGCCAAGTGTTGTGAGCTGCGTGGACAATTTGCAGATAGTCCCAGGACTAGAAGAGCAGCAAGGATTAGATAAGGCTAGATTAAATTAACGAACACCAGCCCACCTTGTGTTTAAGAAATCCAAGCCACATCCTTTCAAAGGCCCGTTTATGCTCCTGAAAATGAAAACAAACACTGAGCCAAACATACTGAGAAAGAGAAAGTTCAATTCTACCAAGCTGAATGAAGTGTTACCTTTAACTTCAATACCTTCCATTCTTCTTGGTTAGCTATTTTAAGGGAAAAAGGCAAGACAAATAGTTCACTTGAAATGACCAAAAAAACGAACCCTTTTAAATAAATAAATAAATAAATAAATAAATAAATATCAGTTAGTCAAGCATAACCGAGTGAAGTTTTATTTCAGGTTGAATCTACATGGAGCAGTGGACATTTGAAAAGCTTTTCACTTCAGAAAGCACTAATCAAATTTTTCTTGTGCAGATTGAAACAGAGAGAGAAATTAAACACAGTGGTTGTGTCTAGACCGGCCAAATTTTTCGGGAAAACAGCCGCTTTTCTGGAAAAACTTGCCAGTTGTCTACACTGGCCATTTGAATTTCCGCAAAAGCACTGACGATCTCATGTAAGATTGTCAGTGTTTTTGTGGAAATACTATGCTGCTCCCGTTCGGGCAAAAGTCCTTTTGCGCAAAACGGCCAGTGTAGACAGCCCAGATTTATTTTCCTCAAAAAAGCCCCGATCGCGAAAATGGCGATTGGGGCTTTTTTGCGGAAAAGCGTCCGTGCCAATATAGACGCTCTGTTCTGAAAATGCTTTTAACGGAAAACTTTTCCATTAAAAGCATTTCCAGAATATCATGCCAGTCTAGATGTAGTCAGTATGATTTTCTCATGTCATTGCAGTTTGATCTAAAATACAAAAGCAACAAACTTCTTTCATTTCTGATATAAAGAGAATGTAGGCTTAAAAGCTCAAAAGTGGTCTTAAAAATGGACTGTAGTCTTTTCTTCAATGCATGATCACAAGTGTGTATAATACTCAATTTTAAATTCTGATTTACTGAATTTGGATTTTGTTATGTTTGGTGCCATTCTAATTACTTTGGTAAGTTCTAACAAGCAAACACTCTTAAGTTTTCTTTCATATGCCATCACATGAAGTTAATATTGACACAACAAAGTCTACTAACCTTGCTTTACCATAAAATGGACCACCTCATTCTCTTTGCTTGGCATGCTAATTGATGAAATGAGGGAAAATACATTCTGCTGGTAAATTGGAAGCAGAACCTGGAGAGAGGGTGAGGAAGCACATGCATAGAGAATCAGTAACTTGGACATCAGTCCATTTTACATGCAATTATAGCATTTAACTAAAAAGACCCAACACATTAAAACAAAGCTCTGGATGTTAGAATCAAAGACAGATTAACATCAGAATCATTCTTACAAACTCTCCCATTCTTAAATTATTCAGGTTTATCTAATATAAAACCTGGATCTGAATGAACCTTGGTTTCATAAAAGGAAAACTTGGCTGCTGCTAGGAAAAACAAACAAACAAAAAACAAAGAGAGAGGCTTCTGTTTGCCTACTAGAGAATGAAGCAAAAATCAAAACCTTCTCTCTGAGCTCTCCAGATTACTGAGGTTTGGAAAAATCAGAATCCAGTACCCACGTAAAGAGACTATGCAAAACCAGAGAAGAATTTCTTTTGGTCCATGTTTAGTGTGCAGCTTTCTGCAAACCTAGCATAAAAAGAAAATAGGAAAGAGCTCACTGCATGGAAAGGAGCACATGTATCTCTCTAGGTCTCGGACACTAACACTGGAACCAAGTAAGGCATTCCAGGTAACTTCACATGCAAGTTATTTCTTCCAAATGGAGATATATTCAGACTTTGACTATAATATTCTAAGTACCTCTTTAGTCTTCTGCATGACTTGTCCAATATTTTCAGTGACAGCCTTCATTACAAAGTACCGAACATCATCATACTCTAGGTATTCTTGGAAACGTGAAATCAGGAGTGAAGAGTCCTCTTCACAAGGGATTAAGTTCTCCACAACTAACTAGCAAGGAGTTTTGGAAAAGAAACCAGAAAGTCAATACACATTATATACTAACAGTAAAAGATATTTTTGTAGCCAAGAGGTACTCCAGACCTCTGTTATATCAGAAAGTCAGCATCCAATTATCAACAGAGCGATGTCCAAGTTTCGTACATGACACAGAACAGTTGACAGCAACAACTTTAAAATTCTGCCACTCACTTTTAAAAACTCACAAGGGAAAATGAAACTCCCCTTCCATTCTGCTTTGACCAAAGGGTATTTCCCTTCCAACTCAACAAACTTCATAAGTGTTAAGAGTGACAATTCCTTTAAAGGAGACAAAAGAAAGATTAAAAAAGCAATATACATTACTTCTTAAAGATGTCACTCTCATTAGGATATGATAATAGGAGAACAACAGAGGTCTGAGCTATATAACAAAGCCTGAGATTGTGGGTTCGAGCCACACCTCCTGCTCCCCAAAGGCAAGAGCATCAGCACCATCCTCCTGCTAATGGGGAGAAAAAGTCCCCAAGGGAATGGCAGAGCACAGACACATTGCCTGGAGGCTTCCCCTGCTACTTCCCCATCCTTTCATGTTCACATTTGAGGGAGGAAGGCAGGAGTCTTTATGGAGCAGGAAGAATGTGCTACAACACAAACAATTAGTTTACTAGGCAGCACAGAAATTGTTGCAGGGCTTCATATTGCTTACACGTCTCATCCAAAAAACAGCACTTCCAGCAGCATAGTGCCCCTCTTCCATCCGCCACATTGGGATGCGGATTCAAGATTCATTTGGAGAATCACCCACTGAAGTAAATATTTTCCCTCGTGTTCACCTCAAAAACTTCCCAACTACATACTGTCCCACCCTTGCTTGCTAACAGCTTACCTTGACCTGAAAAGACTCATGGCTCATCAGCTCCACCAAACAGTTGACACAACTATTATAACGATGCCTCATCCATATTTTGTACTTATCTTCTGCACTGTAATTATCTGAAGGGCAAAATACAAAGAGAGAGGCTTCTGAACATTGAAAGACAAAATGAAATGGAGCAAATTGTGTAAGTTGGTGTTGTTTCTGATAGTCCTGATCACCGAGGGAAGCAATCTAAGGGTTACAGCTGGTAACAGCATTATGAGGCTCATCCCATCATCTATTTAGAAACTAACTCAATATGTGTGCTTGGGCAAGTTACCACAACTGCTCTAGGCCTAGAATCTATCATTTGTAAAACACGAAACTCTGGCATCTTCCATCTGAGGATTTCAAAATGAATTAATGTTAAGCCTCAGTCTACACTGTCATATAAAGAAGACTTAGCCCCATTTAGTGAGCAAGCTACAGTGTAGGTAGGGGAAGTGACTTGCCCAAGATTGCACAGGAAAGTCTGTGGCAGAGCCACAAACAGAACCCACTTCTCCTAACACCTAGTTCAAAGTCATGTGCTTTTGCTACAAGTGCATCCTTTTCAAATGGTGACAAAGACTTAGGACTTATACTTTACTGATACCTAGTACTGATTTCACAATGATTTAGTTACGTTAGTGCTGATACCTATGTAGTAGGACTGCATCCACTCTAGGGGAATGCACTGGATTCATGACATTTCTAAGACTGGTCTAGGCAATGCTACATTAAATCAGGCATGTGAAAAATGCCACTTTTCTGACCTTCACAGTTCTGCTGATCAAATCTGTGTTGACATAGCTAGCATCGGGGAAATGGTGTTTCCTGCACTGTATGCTGCATCTACAGTCAAGTCTTGTGTACACTAGGCCAAAGACCAATTTTAGTCACATAAAGGTCCATTTTCCAGGGATTAAGCCAGGCTCTGTAATACAGATATTCCCTACTTAAACATGAAGACCCCTTTTACCATCATCAGTATTGGGAGATTTTACCCTGCTCTGATGAAAGTGCAAATTACTGAGGTTAGCACAGGATAATGTTGGGAACTTGGGCCATGCACATGTATCAAGCATGTGACCAGGGTTTTCAGAAATGCTACAGAGACCAACCAACCAACCAGACACTGTCTTTCCTGTGAGAAAGGTATCTTCTTCCAGCAGCTGGCCTACAAACAGTTCCCCCCTCTCCAGGAGTGCTCCAAAAAGCCGACTGCAAGTTCGGATGGCGCAAAGGATTACATCCTCCTTGTCCGCCTGGGGTTGAGCAACAAGGTCAGCAAGTGCGTCCACAGGAAGAGAGAGAGGTGCTTGAAGGGGAGACAGAGACAACAGGAAACCTACCCATTAGGGCTTCTGGGGCTGACTAAACATGTCCACAAGATCGCTCCCTTCCCCCACACAGCTGTCTGCAAAGCTACCTGCCATATCCCTGCCATCAGTGATTCCTAGTCCCACTCTCAGCCCACCTCAGTCCCCCATTCCCTTTGCCACTGACCTAACCAATATAATCAACTACCCCCAGATTTCCTCAGTTGCCCCAGCTCATACCCTCTCCCATTGCTACCGACCCCCCTTCACCACCTCTCCCCACACTGCTACCACGACCCCCAGTTCAGCCCCTCTCCCACTGCTGGAGACCCTCCCTTGTCCACCCCTCCCCAC